TTTAGCCTGTTTCCATTTATCAATGTGAGGTAACAATAGCTAATGTCCTGTACTAGGTCAGATGTTCAATTTAAAAAAGTTGGAAATATTTTATTTAAATACCTTTGGAAGTAAAGGTTTTTTAAAAACAAGTTTTTAGTGATAAAACTAAAACTTTTTCCAATTACCATGGACAATGTTTTGGACTTTGTGTCCTCCCTTTCTCTGCCTTTTGCCCTTTTTCTTTTGGCCACTAGAAGAGGGATAGAGAAGGAGGAAAAATGAAGCTTTCATTTTTTTCAGAAAACTTGAAATTTGTAATAAAACATACTTAACCATTTTTCACCATCTGTATAAATAAATGTACAACTTTGGGTCAGGTGTGTGTGGAGCAGTAAGGTGACAAACTTCAGTGTGATATGTAGGTTAATCAGTCACTTCAGCGGAGTATAATGTGCTAGAATGACGGGACATGTGTTGGCAGGGGACATTTACTCTTGACAAATGCATGGGGATGTATATTGGAAGGAAAAATGTGAATATTTGTACATGTTGCTTGATTCTGTTGAGTGTTACCACTCACAAAAAAGTCCATGTCATTTTGTGAAGAGATCAGTGGAAAAACTCAACTTGTTGTGCAGTGGTAGTCAAAAAAGCAAGCTGTTAAAATTTCTAACAGGATAGAAAATAATACTGAAAATATAGGAATGATATTCTTTTGAACTGAAAATCAATGATTTTTGATATTTTATTGTGATTAATTCCCAGTGCTTTTTCTTTGTTCTCCCTGAAGTTTTCCGACTTCACCAGAATAAGTTAAACTAATCCTGTACTTGCTTTCAGAGCTATCAGTAATCCTATACATTTCTCAGGATATCCCCATAACCTTTCTAACTACAGTTGCAAAGATATTCTCCAGGGTATTGTCCTAGTAAATAAATTAGGATAATCCAGATTCCTCCTTTAATACAATTTGTTCTTTATTTTGTTCAAGCAAAATTCCATTTGACACATGATTTATTGCCTATTGATGTCTATGAAGCTATGCTGGAGATGAACATGACTTCCTATGTACTGGACCTGGTCCCCTACAAAGTTTGATCTCCTGCATTTGTTATAACACCTATGTTAACTTTTTTCAGAAGCTTTTTGTTTTTGATTACATTAAAAACTGCAGGAGTAACCTCTTGGCAGTAGAGATTACTTACTAGAAAGTAAATACATATTTGCAGGAGCCCAAAGGACTAATAAATAAAAAATAAGTTACTATATTGTATACAAGAATTTGAAGGGAGGGCTACATAAATTAGAAACCCAACCTCCGATAATACCTTGGGCCCCTTCGATAATCCCAGTCTATATTTATTTACTGAAGTTTGGCAACTATTGGTAAATGTTAATTTGTTAAAATTAATTAAAATAATGGTAATGTTAATCACAAAATCAAACTTTTGTTCAGTTTTTTTTATTCTAGGTTAGCATGAATCGTTTGTTTTCATTATGCATTCTAAAGCATGGTAAAGATATTCATTTTGGGTTTTTTTTACTGACAAGTGTCCTGCTAACCTTACCTCTGGTAGTCTGTTAAACAAGTTAAAAGTACTAAACTTTCTATTGATCACACATTAAATTTGTATGATTCTGTGTTCACTCCTGAGTATGAATGAAACATTTTTTTGTTTAGGCTGCTGAAAGAAGGCTGCTTTATTTTCTTCAGTAAGTAAAATAAATAGTTTTAATTCGACTAAAATATGGTGCTCACAATAAGTTCCAGTTACGCTTTTAAATAATGTAGAAAAAGAACTGCTTAAAATTTGATGGCAATACATTCTAAGTGTATGTTTCAGTATCTTAACACATTCCATTAAGTTAATTCAATCATATAAATTAAAACCAAAAATATTCTTTAATCTTTCATCCTTCTGGTAATATAGGAGTGTTCTGCTTGCCATGTTTTACTGAGTTTGAAAGTACCATGTATTGTCCTGAACTGCTTCAGTTCATCAAACAGATAAAATTCACATACCAAACAGATAAAATTGACTTTACCACTTCGAAAATGTTATTCATTTTTTTTTAAAGCCGTTTAATGTAAAGATACTGATCTACAAGCTTGATTAATCCATTTTGTTTGTAATTGCCCAGTAATTACTCTTGGCACAAGATCATTCTCTGTTATCAGATTCCAAATTTACTGATCATTTGTCTGATTCATTCCAAACTTATTAATTTTTATGGTCTCTGTTCCCTTTGCTGCACAGGCAAAATATTCCCCCTTCAATATTTCATAGACACCTGTCCTATAATCTTGTTATCTTAATGTATATCCCTAGCACAGCATGCTCCTACTATATCTGAAAAAACATTGAGTTTATCTGGTTTGATTTATTTTAATATAAGGTATCTGTGGTTTTGCTTACCATTACTTATATTGTGTGAATAGAAGTTGTATGTTGAGAATGTATTTTAGAGCAGTAAGTGGTAAGATTAGTATGAAATACACTGAATGGCATACAAGTATACCTTTTGGTTATACTGAATTCATGTCTATGGATAAACTTTTCAATTATGGCTGTTCTTAAATCTATTTCAGATGGATCCTAACAGAATTACAGAAGAAGACACACACTGTCTGAGAACACTCTTTAACCTTCAAGAGAGCACAGATTTACAAGAGTCAGCAGTGGAAAATCAGGAAGCAAAATTAATGTCCGAATCATGCAGGAGAATGAAGCAGGTTATTCAAGGAGCTATGCAAAAGGTATGTGCACCCTGAGATTCAAACTAATATTAAAACTTGAGTGAGGTTCTCAAATCCTGTGAGAAAAGAGGTAAGTGTTTTTGGCTTGGTTTTCTTGGAGAGGAAGGAGGGAACTTTATTATCTATTTCACAAAATTAGTGGTTGCATTTTAAATTTTAACGTCTCTAGTATTTTGTTGCCTTTGTTCATGAACTCCTTGGCAGTGGGTCTGCATTTCAGTACGCAGACTAATGGTGCTTCGACTAGCTTTTTTTTTTTAAGAGAAAGAGAGGGAAGTTTGGATTTCCCCAAGAGGAAGAACAATTGTGGTTAGTTGATTTGCCAATTTGTAACTAAGGATAGTCCAGATGGTAGTATTTTATTCTACTATTTTTATAGATTTCCCAGCATTTTGGTTTTGAGAAAGTTAGGGTATCTCTTATAACTTTAGTCTGACTGTGTCCCTGGTAACTTGGATGTGATTACTTTCTTTTGCCAAATAAGATCACCAAGCAGAGGGTAGGTGGGCAAGCAAAATACTAGATGGAAGCATGTCCTCTCATTTCCTTCTGGAGGGAATGGCACATCTTCCAACAACCTCCTTGCCCTTTGTGTGTGGAGTGGGATTTGAAGAATTGGACTCCCCATGTGTGAGAACAGCTCCTGTTCTCTGTACAGAGAATTCAGTCTCCTAATGCCATTTCTCATGTACAGAGAATTCAGTCTTCTTAATGCCAGTTCTCGTGTGGGGACCATTCTTACTGAAGTATAATGGGCACCTTATAGATCCAGTGAGTGAGCTGACAGCATTGAGCAGAGTGCAGAATAATTTAAGAGCAGTGGGGAAAATGAGGACAAATACAAGAGAATTATCCACTGTGCCCCTGGAGGAGTCCCCCAGTCTCCATACCTTCAGGCCCCCCCTTACCCTTCCTATATTCTAAGGGTGCCAGCTCCATCCCTTGGGAATCTGGACGTGGCTGTTCCCAGGGTGGAACAGCTCTTGAAGTACGGCAAGATACATAGCAGTCCTCTTGTCAGTCACTGAGGATATGTATCTGGTAGGAAGAGGTTAAGCCTAGCACATCTTTGCTATAATTTCTCAATGTGAAATTGCATGAAATTACATGTGACGTTGCACACATGCCTATGAGCACAACCTTGTGTTAATGAGTCTGAACAATGTAATAAGGAAGTCTTGATTGGCATGATAACTAGGCAGCTTTTGTTTGTCTTTTCAAGAGTTACAGCTAGCTCCCAAATACTGATATGGCTAATGTCTTTTAATTTCCATAATGAGTTTGAGAGGATTGTCAGAAAAAATTGGACTCAACTGTATTATGTTGTTTTTCTTCTAATATTTGCTGAAATCGTGTGTGTGTGTGTGTGTGTGTGTGTGTGTACACTTTAGAGGAAAAATAATTTAATGGCACGAGTTTGTTTGCACACAATATATATAGTTCATTGCTCTTTCAGAGAGCTCTGAATGGGATGTATATTCAGTAAGTGAATGAGAAGTCCTGTTCGCTGCTGGCTAATCAACAAAGGCATTGGCTTTAGTGGAAGCTGTATGCACCTTCATCCTGATGAGGTAGAATGAGTCTGGCTGATTATTTTGGCAAAAGAAATTTTATTGTTCTCTTAAACCAATGACTTGACCAAAATGATCAGATTTTTATTTTATTTGAACACCATAAAGGAGAATATGTATATGACACTGGGTAACCAGGTCTGTATTTTGGTTCAGTTTGGCCCTATATTTTTGATACCGAGGGAGGCAAGTCAAAATAAGAAAAATAAATGCTACCTTAGCCTCAGGTGCATCTCTTCAGCTGAACAAGCATATACCCCAGATATTAAAGGGCCCATGTTAAGGTAAAAAGCATGGGTTGGATTCTGTGGCCTCATCCATTTCCATCTGTGCTGCTCTGGTAATGCTAAGTGGCTGGAAATTGCGTGGATCTTTCTTGATTGTTTCTAGTCCCTGGTGTAAGATGCTTACGGGAGGCATGGATGGAGAGCATTGCTTTCCTATCAGAGAATTTTACCCCATGGATGTTTTTAAAAACCACACTTCCTTATTTGCAATACTAATTATACCATAGGTTGCTGAAAGGCGACATAGTAAAATCTGTGTTCTTGTCATTTATGGTATTTTACTTTTTGCACTTAACTTAGTTTGGCCAATGAAAATAGACTGGTCAGTTTCATTTTGCATGCAAACAGTTGGTATTCTAGTTTTGTGTGTGTACTCGAATGTATCTACATATGTTCCTTGCATATGCATAGGTTTCATGTTTACATTTACTACAAGGCCTAGCCTGACTGTATTTTAGTGCACCGACTAAAGTCATTGGGAGTTCAATTGCAGGGTAGAGCCCAAAACATTTTCCCCTTAAATATTAAAGCATTTTCTAGCTAATTGTTGTTTATGCCTGAATTACTTGACACATTCTTAGGTGATAGAACTTTTGCTTAGAGCAGCATGTTCAGTAGTGGTGTACTAGTATTCTTTTACAAACCTCAATAATATATTGCTAGTCCTTAGTGTAGTGTTTCCTCATAACAGATCAGATTTTGATCGTGAGTACTTGTGCACATCTGGAGTAACTTTATCATCAGTGGACTTATTTTAGATTTACGTTGTTGCAGCTGAGATCAGAATGTGGTCACACAGCTTTAGGTAGACAAGTAATATAATTTTCTTGTTTGTGGTTTCATGGTTTGGTTTGGCTTTTTTTTTTTTTTTCATGTAACCCTAAAAGCCCTTTGGCTGTCCAAATACACTGACCACACTTTCTATAAAGACTACCCTAAGTCTGGCAGTAGAGAGATTGACAAACATGTAGCTGGGGTCAATCCGTGAAGTAACACTTTTTTGGCAGTGCTCCCAGACCTGGCAGCTTGGAGTTCAGGCCTAAACTCGTCTCCCGCATACAACAAAACACTTCGCTGCTAGGACCTCCAGGATAGTCCTTGTGAAGACCTTTTTATGCTTCGCAAACATTGTGAGCACACAAGGTTAACAACAAAGTGCTGGAGAGGCCAGGTTTCAGAGTTACAAGTTGTCTAATATTTGTGATCCTGATCCTGCAACCTCTTCCATTTCAGGTACTAGGAATGCTAATACTAAGTTACAGGTCTGGAATATTTACTGTAACTTCTGGAGAATATTGGTACACGTTAGGGACGTAAACGAGGAGTCGAGTACACAATTAATTGATAAGCCTAGGCTTACTGGTTAATCTTCTCTACTACACTCATTTCCCCTGATTTGCTGCCTCTGTATCAGAGGCAGCAGGTAGGGCGGGGCAGAGGAGAATGCCATAAAGCAGCCTCTGCCCGTGGCAGGCCTGGGCTTGCTGCAAAGAGAGGCTGCTTCGTGGGAGGGGGAGCAGCCTCTGTATGTGTGAATCATAGAATCATAGGACTGGAAGGGACCTCGAGAGGTCATCGAGTCCAGCCCCCCGCCCTCAAGGCAGGACCAAGCTCTGTCTACACCATCCCTGACAGATGTCTATCTAACCTGTTCTTAAATATCTCCAGAGAGGGCGATTCCACCACCTCCCTTGGCAATTTATTCCAATATTTGGCCACCCTGACAGTTAGGAATTTTTTCCTAATGTCCAATCTAAACCTCCCCTGCTGCACTTTAAGCCCATTACTCCTTGTCCTGTCCTCAGAAACCAAGAGGAACAAATTTTCTCCTTCCTCCTTGTGACACCCTTTTAGATATTTGAAAACCGCTATCATGTCCCCCCTTAATCATCTTTTTTCCAAACTAAACAAGCCCAGTTCATGAAGCCTGGCTTCATAGGTCATGTTCTCTAAACCTTTAATCATTCTCGTCTCTCTTCTCTGTACCCTTTCCAATTTCTCCGCATCTTTCTTGAAATGTGGCGCCCAGAACTGGACACAGTACTCCAGCTGAGGCCTAACTAGTGCAAAGTAGAGCGGCAGAATGACTTCACGAGTTTTGCTTACAACACACCTGTTGATACAACCTAGAATCATATTTGCTTTTTTTGCAACAGCATCACACTGTTGACTCATATTCAACTTGTGGTCCACTATGACCCCTAGATCCCTTTCCGCCATGCTCCTTCCTAGACAGTCGCTTCCCATCTTGTATGTATGGAACTGATTGTTCCTTCCTAAGTGGAGCACTTTGCATTTCTCTTTATTAAACCTCATCCTGTTTACCTCTGACCATTTCTCTAACTTGCTAAGGTCATTTTGAATTATGTCCCTATCCTCCAAAGAAGTTGTAACCCCACCCAGTTTGGTATCATCTGCAAACTTAATAAGCGTACTCTCTATCCCAATATCTACATCATTGATGAAGATATTGAACAGTACGGGTCCCAAAACAGACCCTTGAGGAACTCCACTTGTTATCCCTTTCCAGCAGGATTTAGCACCGTTAACAACTCTCTGACTACGGTTATCCAGCCAATTATGCACCCACCTTATTGTGGCCCTATCTAAGTTATATTTGCCTAGTTTATCAATAAGAATATCATACGAGACCGTATCAAATGCCTTACTAAAGTCTAGGTATATGACATCCACCACTTCTCCCTTATCCACAAGGCTTATTATCCTATCAAAGAAAGCTATCAGATTAGTTTGGCATGACTTGTTCTTCACAAACCCATGCTGGCTATTCCCTATCACTTTATTACCTTCCAAGTGTTTGCATAGGATTTCCTTAATTACCTGCTCCATTATCTTCCCTGGGACAGACGTTAAACTGACCGGTCTATAGTTTCCTGGGTTGTTCTTATTCCCCTTTTTATAGATGGGCACAATATTTGCCCTTTTCCAGTCTTCTGGAATCTCCCCTGTCTTCCATGATTTTTCAAAGATCATAGCTAAAGGCTCAGATACCTCCTCTATCAGCTCCTTGAGTATCCTGGGATGCATTTCATCAGGACCTGGTGACTTGCTGACATCTAACTTTCCTAAGTGATTTTTAACTTGTTCTTTGTGTATCCTATCTTCTAAACTTACCCTCTCT